CATTCCACTTATATAGAAGCAAGCTGTCATGGCAAGCTGTCATAGAGAGAGAGAATTAAAGAAATATTATCCGGTATTCGCGCATTCTTAGGAGTTTTATCTATCCCCCCCTCCGCCAACTTACGCCCGACCCCAATTGTACCTTATACACAACATTCCCACTAAAACTGAATTTCCGACCTACTGCAATTTCGGACCTACTCCCCCTACGCCAGCTGTATATTTTTGTATTATTTGAGGTATTGCTTGCAGTTAAGACAATTTCTGGGCCGAGCGCCGCGGCTAGGACAGGCTAGGGGCCGGGCGCTGTGGCCACAAGTCCATATAGCTGCTGTAATACCACGTGCTAGTAGGTCGAATGTGTAGTATAGCGGATTTATCGTATAGGTCAGAAGTGAAGTATAGCGAATTTGCGTAGGTCAAAAAATACGATGCTATCCCATTTGAACTACTCCCGTTTGAACTATTGTTCTTTTCGAACTACAAGAAAATAATTTAAATGAACATTAAAATAGTTCTAATAGTTGAAATGTCGACGTAAAAATAGTTCAAATGAACAAAAACATAGTTCAAATGGACATATGTTCAAATGGACATAAAAATAGTTCAAATGGGCCAAAAAATTGTTCAAATGGACAAAAAATAGTTCAAACGAACCAAAAAAAGTTCAAATGAACAAAAAAATAGTTCAAATGAACAAAAAAATAGTTGAAATGAACAAAAAAAATAATTCAAATGGACAAAAAAATAGTTCAAATGGACATAAAAATAGTTCAAATGGACATAAAATAGTTCAAATGAACATAAAAATAGTTCAACATGGACATAAAAATAGTTCAAATGGACATATAAACAGGGGCGGACACAGGATTTAAGTGAGGGGGGGGGGGGCAAGATTTTTTAGGAACAAAAAAATTAATAATTAGGAACAAAAAATCGTGCCGCAGGCGAAATTTTTTTTTGACTTAAAAGACTCAAAAAGAGTCAAAATTAATGACAAAGACTAAAAAACTAGATTTTTAACTTTAAGGAACAAAATTAACGGATTAGAACAGGAATTTAGGAACAATTAAAAGATTGTTCAGGAATTAGGAACAAAAATAAAGGATTAGGACAGGAATTTAGGAACAATTAAAAGATTGTTCAGGAATTAGGAACAAAATTAAAGGATTCGGACAGGGATTTAGGAACAATAAAAAGATTGTTCAGGAATTAGGAACAAAAATATTGGATTAGGACAGGGATTTAAGTTGGGTCGGACACAGTATTATGAACAGGAACAATAATAGGAACATTAGCAATTTAAGAACAAAGAGAAATTACTAGTTATACTTAAATGCATCAAAATTGGGACCATATTACAATTTTAAGTCTAGTTTCTTACAAATTTCTAATTCTAAATTTATCGTTAACAATTAACATTTATACTTGTTGTCGTTGATTTTTAAATTAAACTGAAGAAAAGAAAGTCAAGATTTCCATTAAATAAAAAAGCTTGAAATTGAAACACATTCGATTTATAAAATTGGGAACATTTTTTGACTCGAAATCTCAGGCCCCTCCCTGAATCTGTCAGGGGGTGGCGAATGTCCCCCCGCCACCCCCCTTTATCCGCCCCTGCATAAAAATAGTTCAAATGAACATAAAAATAGTTCAAATGGACAAAAGAATAGTTCTTAAATGGACATAAGAATAGTTCAAATTTGAACATAAAAATAGTTTAATTATATAAATAAAAAAAGAACATCAATTTTGTATGACCATTATTTTTTTATTTTACAGCAAATTAGTATTGTTCATGTGGCCGCAGCGCTCGGCCCCCTAGCAGCTCTGTCCTAGCCGCAGCGCTCTGCCCAGAAAAGAGCTTAACCTAACCTAACCCTAATTATTCATTAATTTTATTAAAAATTGTTGAATTATAGAGGTCTTTCCTGGCCGCAGCGCTCGGCCCCCTAGCCCGTCCTCCGCATGCGCTCGGCCCAGAAATGCTAAACCTAACCTAACCCTAAAATAATAATAACATTTGAACTATTTTTTTTTATTTGAACTATTTTTTCATTTGAACTATTTTTTTTCTTATATTTGAACTTTATTTTTTTCATCAAACTATTAATCATTTGAACTGCAATTTTTTTGTTCATTTGAACTATTTTTTTGTTCATTTGAATTATTTTTATGTTCATTTGAACTATTTTTATTTTCAAAATTTCATTTGAACTATTTTTATGTTTTTGAAACATGTCTGTGTATATATGTTATTTATTTAATTGTATGGTCCATTTAACTTCATTATAAATTATAAATTATAAATTATAAAAACATTTAAAAACTGCAGAATTGGTAGATTAAAATAGTTCTTGAGCAAGTATAATGTGTTGATTTAAACTACAACAGGATGACGTCATGTCATCAGGCGCGCAACTAGACATTTGGTTATGGGGGGGCTAGTGGGAAATATTTCGCGCGAAGCGCGAAAAATTTTTGGCCCCCCCTAAACATTTTTAGGGGGGGGGGGCAAGAAAAATGTGTGTTATACTTGAACAATAAAAAACTAACCTTACCAACTTGATATTCGATCAGTAAGTCAACACATCTGATATGAAATAAAACAAGAAATCTATTCTGGTCAGGGGCGGATACAGGGGGGATATTCGCCCCCCCCCCCTGACAGATTCAGGGAGGGGCGTAGCCCCCCCTGAATTTGAAATTTTTTGTTCCTATTTTCATAATAGCTTCTCAATAGCATGCTTAATTGTGAAAGAAACCCTAGTGCAAAACAGGAAAAATATCTGTCTTAATAAACTATAATGTGTGAACAGTTAGTTAGTTTTTAGTCTTTAGTCATTAATGCCTTTCATTAAAAATTCATGATTTTACATGAAAAATATTTTTTTTAATATGACACATCACACAATATTTGCGGTGAACACGTACGATTAATTTAATAGTCATGTACTACAGTATTAAAGCAATATCATAATAAGTGGCAGAACTGATAGTGAAAATATTTAAAAAATACTTAATAAACCCTCTTTTCCAGGAGAAAACAGCATAATGAAAAAAACAAAGATTAAGGCACCTTGGAACCTTGTCAACCTGTTCTGATCTGTGTGTGTGTATATGGTGTATTAAGTGCTATATCGATTGAACTATAAGCTCAATTATCTTTTTTTTTTATTTTACGATAAGAGCTCTTAAATTTCCTCAGGGTCAGGTTCATGAATCGCTAAATTGCAAAACAGGGTGGACTTCGTCACTTCTTGCCCCCCCCCCCTACAGGGGGGGGCAAGACTTCTTAAGGGAGGGGCATGCCCCCCCTTAATCAGGCTACGGGGGGGCCTGGCCCCCCCTAGTTGCGCGCCTGCATGTCATGTAGTTCAAATAACAATAGTTCAAACGAACAATAGTTCAAACGAATAATGGTTCAAACGGCAGTATAGTTCAATTGAGAATCCACCGAAAAATACACCTTGGTCCGTCTGTGAGGTCTGTGGAGTCTGTGGCGAGAAAAAAATTAATATTCAATCAATAAATCGCATAGTTTCTTAAAAATGTTGACGCGCGGCAATTTAGAAGGCATGCGCACGTATTACAAAATATATTTCGGTCGGAATCTCGTAATTTTGAACAAGAAGAAGCCCTAGTTAAACTCAAAATAACAGCATTCAGTTGAATCATAATGAATTAGAATTTTAAACTTTTTATAAATTGTTTCTTCGACTGTTAACCTCTCTTTCGGGAGTAGTTTTGATGAAGCTTCATGAAGTTGCTGTACATATACTTGAAAGCATGTTTCTAAATATAACTTGTTTCTCAATGCAAGTTCCAAACAAAAGATGTCAAAAAGAAATTTCATTATTAATACACCATAATCGTTTCGTTAATATCATGTTTTAAGAATAAAATGAATATAGTTAAATGCTCAGCAGTTCGGCAATTCGGCAATCAATCTAATATCTTAAAAATCAGATCGTTCTTTAGGTAAGAGGATTTTTTATCATTTGGCGACCATTCTAATTAGTATTTTTTTCTAACCTATCACAAAATATCGGCTTACCACTGATGTCTTATTAACGGCCAAAATATCAGCTGGCTATGGCCTATGGTAAACCATTAGGGTCCGTCCTAGTTTACGATTTTTGGACTCCCCCTCCCCCCTCCTATCAATTTTGTACATGAATGCTTATTATTCAGCTAAAATATTATTATTTTTTTATTATTATTTAGGGTTACGTTAGATTAAGACAATTTCTGGGCTGAGCGCTGCGGCTAGGGGGCCACGCGCAACGGCGAGGACAGGCTAAGGGGCCGGGCGCTGCGGCTACATGATCAATTATATCCATGTGTTACATAGATATACCATGTATAAAATTGATAGGCAGGGGGGAGGGGGGTCCTAAAATCGTTCTCTAGGAAATTACTAACCATTCTAAGTATTATGTTTTCTAACCTAACCCAAAATATCGGCTTACAATTGATGTATAACCCAAAATATCGGCTTACTTGTGATGTCTATCCCAAAATATCGGCTTACCTGTGATGTCTAACCCAAAATATCGGCTCACCTTTGATGTCTAACCCAAAATATCGGCTCACCTTTGATCAAAATATCGGCTCACCTTTGATTTCTAACCCAAAATATCGGCTCACCTTTGATGTCTAACCCAAAATATCGGCTCACCTTTGATGTCTAACCCAAAATATCGGCTCACCTTTGATTTCTAACCCAAAATATCGGCTCACCTTTGATGTCTAACTCAAAATATCGGCTCACCTTTGATGTCTAACCCAAAATATCGGCTCACATTTGATGTCTAACCCAAAATATCGGCTCACCTTTCATGTCTAACCCAAAATATCGGCTTACCATTTATGTTACATATGAAAACTACTGATCAGTTTTGTCGCTATGCTCGGCACAAAATTTTCTTAACTCTACCTTGCTAAGGTATTGACAGAAGTCCGGGAAATTCATGGAAAACGCATAAAAAGTATCAAAGAGTACCAAATTTAGGAAAATCTTGCTTGCTCTCTTTTAATTATTAAATAGTGAACATTATCTTACGTCTGCAGGTATAACAAATTTGTTTAGGGACAGTACGGTTTGTTCTAAAGAAGTTCAGATTCCTGATCGAATAGAGCGTTCTCCAACAGATATACTTAGAGCAATATCAGGAACAGTTAGCACAGATTTCACAGCCCCCCACTACAGGTTTCGAACTTTTATTTTTTTTGATGGTTTCAATTGTCAGGGCGATTTAAAAAAAAGTAATTTTGGGGTTATCTTTAGTTTTAACATATTGCCAATTTCCTATGAGAGTGAAAGTCAGCTTTTGTTTTGAAAGTTTGGGGAAAATCAAGAATGTAACTGCAATCTACCCAGAAACAAAATATATTCAAATTAAACTACCAAATCTACCCAGAAACAAAATATACTCAAATTAAACTACAAAATCTACCCAGAAACAAAATATACTCAAATTAAACTACCAAATCTATTCAGAAACAAAATATACTCAAATTAAACTACCAAATCTACCCAGAAACAAAATATACTCAAATTAAACTACCAAATCTACCCAGAAACAAAATATATTCAAATTAAACTAACATATCTATTCAGAAACAAAATATACTCAAATTAAACTACCAAATCTACCCAGAAACAAAATATACTCAAATTAAACTACCAAATCTACCCAGAAACAAAATATATTCAAATTAAACTAACATATCTATTCAGAAATAAAATATACTCAAATTAAACTACCAAATCTACCCAGAAACAAAATATATTCAAATCAAACTACCAAATCTATTTGGGTTAAACTAATTTAGGATTTTTCGGGAGTTAGGTTCGTGCTTTATAATCATGTTATACTTTTTGTATTTCTAGATATCACGATGATCCCTGGTTAGTTCCCTACACACAGAACGAGAAAAGAGAGTTTGCATTAGCAAGGGAATCTGGCAAGAACGCTGCAAGGTAGGGGGTGGGGATGGGAGAGGGGGGGGTTTATGAGTCAGAATTGGTTATAAGCAAGTGAGCTTATGGGGTTGGAGAAAAAATGAAGGTTAGGGAAGGAAAAAAGAAAAAAGGAGGAGAACGAGAGAATTGTTTTTTATCTGCAAGTTTTGGCTCACACAGGAAACTGCAAAACCTAATTTGGGAAATAGTATGATGGGGGAAAGAGGGAAACCCAAAATTTCATGAAAAACTGTAACAATAATGCATAATAAGATTAAAATATAATTTTATATAGATTTATTTTGGAGAACCATCCTCATCTATTCACTAAGAACAGAATATTAGCTGAACCTCCCGTTACAGCTTTCCAACCCAGAGCTAAATATAATAGGTAACTCACCGTTTCAATTTCAAACTATTAATTCGATTTTTTCAAGAACTATTGATACACGAATAAATATTTAATATGTTGTAGGATTCGATCATAATTCAATTCCTGAAATGATAAATATGTAATGTCAATGATCAATGTCGCCTATTTTTGCATATTTTTTGTAAAACTATATGTTCGAAATATCTAAACAAAGAACCCGTAACAAGTAAGACAGATTGTAATATCTTTGTAAATATTAATAGCAGGCGGTGCTATTAATGTAGACTCATATAATTGCCTAGGAGCAGGATATGAAGTCAGATTGTTGATATCTCTTTCCGGAGACTTGGAACCTCTGAAAAGTGACCTCCGTCGGCTCCAATTTTTAATCTCCGGCCTCGTTGGACATACATATTTTATTTTTAATATATACTCCCAATGACCCCTAGAATACGCAAAAAAATTCTTTTTTCCTAAAGTTTTTAATCTCAAAACAGGGTTTAAAAAATTGCGTTTTTTAAATTTTTTTTTAATGCAAAACTGACAAGTTTTGATAAAAAATATCAAAGGAAAAGAAAAAAGAAAATATTATTTATATTATAACACATTGATGAAAAAAAAGATTTTAAAGAATTAGTTTATTTTGGGTTAATAGTCGGTAATCTAACCTGCTCCAAGGTAATTATATACCAACCAACCAATGGTTTTAATTGGTTAGCCAACTGACTGGAATGTATCTACTTTATTTCCCTAGATTTGGACTAGAAGATGGGGATTTAAAGGTCTAGTTAGAACAGGGGCAGGGCAGTGCACCCTGCTGCCTGGGCGGTCTGGGGGGCCCATAATGGGGTCTCTTGCAGATTTCACTTCCTTATGATTCCTTATATAACATCAGTTTTTAAATTAGAACCGGCCACCATCTATATTATGGAGGAAAATGCAAAATTTCAAAAAAAATATTAACACCCCGTAACCCACGGAACAATAATTTTTTTCATCAATAATAATATATTTAATATTTTCTCTTTTTCCTCCGATATTTTTTATCATAACTTGTCACTTTTTGCATTTGAAAAAAAAATTGTTTTGAATTTAAAAACTTAAGAAATTTTTTTTTTTTTGCGTATTTTAGGGGTCATTGGGAATGTATACTAAAAGAAATGGAATATTTATGTCCAACAAGGCCGGAGATTAAAAATCGGAGCCGACGGAGATCACTTCAGAGGTTCCAAGTCTCCGGAAAGAAATATCGCCAATCTGACTTCATATCCTGCTCCTAGACAATTATATGAGTCTATATTCAAAAATAGCACCGGGTGCTATTAATATTTACAGAAATAATATTATAAAATGTCTTACTTGTTACGGGTTCTTTAAACTACGCATTTTTGTGCGTTAATAAATCTTTTCAGTATTATATAAATCATGGAAATTTTCTTAAAATAATAATAAACTGCTTACCTCCTACAGGATTAAAATGTTTTTTTTCTTGTAATCATTGTATAATGTATATTCAAACATAGTTTTTTAAGTTTTAGGTTTATTTGATAGCATTCAACATTCTTTTTAAAAACCATGGATTGGTTTCAATATGGTCTTATTTTGAACTAATTTTAGATAATATGATAAATTATTAATTATTATTTAAGGGATAATGTGACAGTTGAATTATTGGAAAATATGATCTCCAGTTTCCAGGTAAATTAGACAATCAATCAATCAAATAATCATAGTTCTAAATTTATAAAATAAATCAATTAATCATTGAATCAATTGGTTATTTAATTAATAAATATAGAAGTAAAGTGTTAAATCATGTAATTGATCAATATATCATTGAATTTATTAATTCATTTAGTGAATTTATAATTAAATAACTGAATTGAGCAGCAAGCAATTAATTAATTAATTAATTAATTAATTAATTAATTAATTAATTAATATAATGAATTTGAATTCATCATTGAGTAGATATTTTGAGTAACTAATAATTCAGTTTATCAATAACTCAGTCTACTAATATATCGAATTCATAAATCAATCCGTGAATTGAGCAGTAAATCATTTAACTTTTAATCAATCCACCTATTGAATTAAGGGGAATCGGCTCTGTTAATTACGTACATAATCAATCAGAAAGTTAGTTAATTAATCAATCAATTCTCCAACTGAAGTGAGAGTGAAGATCTAAAATATTTTTTGCTAGGTATCTGATGCCATATCTGTGTATGAACTGCTCCTAGAGAAGAAGAAGGTTCAGATTCCAGACGGTTTACTCCAGGGTCTCCTTGAACTTTTAGCTTTCAATTCAGAGGTTCATATCTTACTCTTGACAAACTTTTTAAATTTATTTAAATTTTTGTAATTAATAGTATTTTTGGGAGATGTGCTTTTTTAATTTTTGGAATTATAATATTTTACACTTTCATTAAAAATAAGTCTTCTTTCGAAGGCGTACTATTTTTGGCAATTCATTCCACTTTTATTTAAAGATAAATTGACATGGTATTTTTTTTAAACATTGTCAATTTTGTGCGATTAGTATGTACCATTTTTGCCGGTTATTTATTTCTGAGGTCTGATTTTATGACCAGCAAGGAGCAGTAGAACTAGGTATGGCCATTTTAACTACTTTTTGATTTTGCACTTCCGGTGCGCAACCCAATAGAGGTAGTTCACCCATCTGTTTCTCGTTCAACTCCCGCTCCTTGTTCATTAATTCCTGGCCTCAGGTTATTTGCTTGAAACTTGATTGATTGATTTATTAGGAAGAGGCGTTGAGCTTAGAGAACAAAGAACCTAAATACTTTCTACCTGGGAATAAAAGCTGGAAGTCCGGAGGTCTAGCGGAGACATTATATTCCAAGCTGGGGACCTCGGAGGCCAGGGTTGCTATGCTTCTTGGGTTCGCTAGACACGGTCAAGTTGCGAGGACAATGCAGGTTTGAGGATTAAAAGAAAAAAATTATTATTTTTCATGTACATTACATGTTTTTAAATTTTAAAGGGAGTGACCGGCAATATATGGTTGTTGATCTAAGTATGCAGTAATATAGAAAGTTTTTTAGGATTCATTACTAAGTTTGATTTCAAAGTCGACGTTCAAAATCATGAATTTGGTTGGTTTCTTTTTCAGAATCGTTTTTTTATTATTAAATAACGACGACAAAAATATAGTAAAAATTCTATAGTAAACTAATTAGATGTTTAGAAACATATTTTTCAAAACAAATTTGTCAATAAATCAATGTTAGAATTAATTATTTCGTTTTTATCATTATATTGAATTTCTTATTTTATGAATTTGTTCGCAGATTTTTAAAATTCCAGAAAATCTTTGTGAATAATGAGAGATTATAGAAACTAATAATTGAATAAAATTACTTATTTTTTATGATTTTAGAGTTAATTTTTATTTTCTCAACCTGTTCCTAGACAAAAAATAAGTTTACGTTAGAATTTTGTTAACCTTTTTTGTCGTCGTTTTTTAATAATTAAAAAAAACCGATTCTGAAAACGTACCCAAACAAATTCACGATTTTGAACGTATACTTTGCGCTCAAACCTAGTAAACATACGTCGTAGAAACGTTTTATATGTTTCAAATGAATCCTAAAAAATTTGTCCACAACACGACATATTCAGTTCAACCACAATACATAGCCAGTTACTGCCTTTAACTTTCAGTGTCGATTTAAAAACTTGAATGTTGGGTTAAACATTCTTGTAGTAGTGCCTTATTTCCCATACTTAACTAATAGTCTATTACATTTATGAGTATGTTAAAGGATTCGGGGAAAATTTAATCATCTATTTTTTTCGAAAAATATAAATTTTTTGTGATTTTGTATTAATGGTAGGTACTAACTCTTAAGCGTACTGTCATTATAGATTTGTTTCCCAAAACTTTAAATTGGCTGGATCATTTCTTTCAGTGTTCCCTTAGTGTTCAGTATTTCCATATTTTACAAGATTTTTCCAGGAAAAGATATTTTTTTGTAAAGGTTTGGGAGGAGATGAAGGTGAACCAGGACAAGATCCCCCTGGAGGCATTCAACGCCTACCTGTCAGCTCTTAATATAGAGGATGTAAACAAACTTAAGGTAAACACAGCTGTTTAATTATCAGGATATATAAATGCTGAATCGTTAATTTGTCAATCTGCATTCTGCATGCCTTAAAGAGAAAAAGACTGATGTACTGAAGAGATCAGATTTGATATTATATCATATCTGTTCGGTTCCATAGTAGTAAACCTATCGTGTAAGAATTCCCATTATTACACGGTTCAGGAGGAACAATTTTAATTTTGTTTACTTCCAGGCGTTTAAGAATGCTTATTCTTACACTGTAGGTGCATAATTTTCATTCTTTAACGCTCACACCGTGAAAGAATGGAAATTATTACATGGTCAGAGCGTGAAAGAATGAATATTCTTACACGCTCCGAGCATTAAAGAATGGAAATTATTACATATGTTGAAGAATATTCATTCTTACACGCTCCTTATATTGATCTTTTAACATAGATTAATATTAATATTAACTTAATTATTTTGTACTGACAACATGCACAGGGCAAACTTACCTTTTTCATTTATATTAATACATGCAAACTTACCTTTTTATACTTTAAATTAACATGCTCACTTACCTTTTCCTTTAATATTAAAACTGCAAACTTTCCTTTTTTACTTCAGTAAAACATGCTCACTTACATTTTCATGCTCACTTACCTTTTTCGTTTTTTGAAGTATTGATATACCTTAATTCAGAAATTTCCATCTAAATCTTAACCTTAGTCCCGACAGAATAGTGGAACCCCCTGTGTTTAATAAAATTTTCTGACCTTCCCAAAGAAAACCTCGTACTTTAAGCGTTCCATTGGACATTTTCATCTAACTACCGAGTCTTAAAGCATACTTACTGACTGTCAACTTTATATAATTTTTTTGGTTTTCTTGATTCCAAACCAAATTTGGTAAGATTTTACAAATCTCTGCATATTCTAATAGTACGGTAAGAACTTTTCAAAAATGGAAAGGTTGTCATTACTTCACAATTTCAATTAATTTTTTGTTTACTTTATAACTGGATACTGTACATTGTACAATAATAAGGGTTTCCAAAATTCCAAATTCAGTTGTAATATTTAAACAAATAGACAGAATAAAGAGGTCGATTTGCCCCCACCCTACAGCTAACACTAGTTTTAAAGTATCTCAGCCTGAGTTAGCAGTCACCATATCTCACATAGCTCGAAATGAAGAAGTGAAACCACAATCAAACCAAAAATGTTAGTTTATAAAAACTTATTTAAATACTAGTGTCACACTATTAATGGGGTCATAGCACTCCATAGCAATGAAAACAAACTAGTAAATCTGCTTAATGAATAACAAAGATCTTCATCAGTTTAGGTCGAACTGATTCTTACTAGATAACCTTCTCTTATCTCCTCTTTCTGGAAGATTTAGGATCTAATATCCAGGAAATGATTTCTTCTATAATGAAGACACGATTTTGTTCAGTAGATTAGGACAACCCACTACTATATCTTCTCCCCATCTAAAAAAACTCAGGGCACATTCAACATGCTGTATCTAAATGTAGTTAGTATCAACTTAAAAAAGGAGAGCAAAAGTTTTAGAAATTGGTAAACAAACTAACTAAACAAAGGAAAAAATCACACCACATGCATTACTTTCAAATTAAGAACTAATATTAACTTATAAAATGGTTTTGAACATTTTAACAATAGATAAATAAAAACAGTGATAGTCAGAACAAGAACATAAAACTTATTTGCAACATTTCATACTGTAAACTGTTCCAACTTGAAATAGTCAGATTTAACCAGAATTATTTTTTAATATAATTTCTTGAGTATGTGCTCATGGAACCTCACAAATATGATAAAATAATAATCTTATGAGGATAAAAATGTAATAATGGAATTCTTAAACTCGATGAAATAATCTTGATGTATTCTTTCATCTCGTTAAAGAATTTCCATTATTACATTTTTTTCCTCATAAGATTATCATAATATCCATATTCCTCAACTACAAATTAAAGAACAACTAATTTATTAATGAACGTGTTGAGTAAAAACATAGCGGAGTCATATAAATAAATACCGTTAATCTTCTGCTTCAATACTCCCCCTTCTTGATAAAAAGTACAATTTATTGTCTCAATGGTACACTTAAACCTTTATCAGAGATACAAGACATTGTCGAGACACTAAACGGAAAAATTACAATTATAGATAATCAATTTTACGAGAGACAAAGAATATCTCACTCATTCTTGAGCAGACTAAGGTTTTTAAAGCAATGTTGTGAATCGGACATGTCAAGAGTCAGTATTTTCTATTAATGTAAAAAATATTTTGCAGTCTCATCTTTATCTCGATTTTTTACTAAACTTAATCTAATCTTTATCCTAGGTTGAGATAACCGATATTCTAACCAGTATGAAAGCACAAAAACTTCAACCCAACCATGAAACCCTGGTTTCTTGTCTCCGAGCTGTGTCTATGGCTGGGAGTAAACAGAAAGCTAACTATTCGTCCTGTTGCGAGTTTGCGCTCTGTCTCCTTGCTGAGTTTAGAACTGCAGGAGTTGAACCTAGTCTCGGAGCATTCTGCCATCTTCTAGATATATTCTACTCTAAGGAATGATTAAGTTTTAACCAATATGAGATATTTTCCTAGGTTCTTTATCCGGCATTTTTCGGATTCATGATACTTTTTATGTTACTATACTTGGATTGGTGGTAATAGTTTACTTTAATTGAAGTTGAATGCATTTTCTCGCTAGAGTTCTTAAAGTGATGGATATTGGATTGTTTGGGCTGAAATTTCAACAAATACATTTACAATTATTTGTGTTTTGTTTTGTATATTAAAACTATTATTCTGACAGATTTCAAGAGAAAGACCAATGATTATCAAGGATTTTCTAAATTATCTGGAGGATAAAGATATGTGGCCAGCCAGGTAAATTATTATTATTATTCTAATTTTATCGTCATTATTTTGACTTCAATACATCGCCAAAAATCGCTGTCATGTACGATTGCTTATTGTTGACTTTGGATATCATGTCGTTAGAGGGATATATATATACTTTGCTTTTCTGTCTGTTTGTTTGTATCCAATAAACGTCAAAACTGAACCGATTAGGCCTAATTTTGGGCAGGGGCTGAAGTGCACGGATCAGTCGTGAGAGGTGGGGAAAGATCTTCTTCAAGTTTTACAGCTGATTTGACTGAACGCAGCGCTCAATTAGAAGCATGAGTAATTGGGAATGAATTTTGTAGATTTAGATAAAATAATTTTGGTGGGATGCCTGCATAGGGACTGACAGCTGGTGGGGTGGGGGGACAGCTTGTGGGGGGGATACAAGTGTCAACTTCGATACAAGTCTTAGCTTTGATACGAGTGTCAGCTTTGTAAACTATATTTGCCTCGGAGATTTGAATGTTTATTTCTGTTCAGATCAGAGCAGGATTTTCTCTTCTTTAAACGAGCAATGGAGGTTTGTCAGCATCTGAACCAAACCAAACTAGCCTACAGGTATCATCATATCAGGGTAACATAATTTGGGATGTCTCTCCTTGCGGCTCTGACTGTCGTCCAACCCAGCCGTAATCAATAATTGAAATCCAAAAAAGTTCTTTTCAACTTATTCAGTATTGGACATCATTAAATTACGACGTTACGACGAACAGAAAACCCGGCCCAGCGTTTCTGAAAGTCCAATTCAATAATAATTCAAGTAAGAGCGAATACCTTTACTTTTTAATTGTTAAATGCAATCTGAACTTCGGCCGGTAACAGTAAAAAGATAATTTATATTTATTTTCTCGAAAGGTTCAAGTTTAGCTTTTAAAAAAATCTAAAAATTGCCTTGGAACAATTCAATTTTGTTGCTGATCCATCCTATGAAATTATGCACTGAGGTGGGAACTGGGAACTCTTGTTTTGTGGATATCGAGATCAATGCTTGATCTTTATCTTTTCCTAATCTGCAGATTAATTTAATATTTATTCGATATCCCGCATGGTAATTCTCGAATAAAGAAGTGCCCACAGTGGATATCGAGATCAAGCTACCGGGATTATAAGTATTTAACACAAAAGTTCCCAGATCTATTTTTTTCTAGGTTACATAGTTTCCTGCTATCCCACAACAACCAGAACCTGCTCGGCAACTTCAGGGACTCGGAGAGATATTACGAGCTCCTGGTCGCTCTTGTTCTCAGGACAGAGGATCTAGGTCAGATATTTATAATATGAACATTATTAATACTATAGTTAATTCTGGTTAATAAACTTCAAATCTGAACATTATTAATACTACAGTTAATTCTGGTTAATAAACTTCAAATCTGAACATTATTAATACTAGTTAATTCTGGTTAATATACTTCAAATCGATATTTTTGTAAGAATACTAATATGTGTCCCAACTATTTTTTTATCCGAATTAAATAACAGGAAAGCGATAATATCTTTAATATTATTGAAAAGATAAAGGTTTTAAGCGTACCGTTGTGAATCGGGCATTGTCATATTTGAAGGTCACATGAAATTACGCTTACTGTAGCTTTAATTTTGAAAATTCTTAAAAAAAATGTGTAGAAATGGATCTTAGATGCGAATGTAAAATTATGATGAGCACTTGACTGACGGAGAAAAAGCGTCTTGAATAGTCTCGATAAATATTCATTAATTCTAAAGCCCAGCCTGTTGTTCATTAAATAGAAATTTGATCATTTTATTTTTTGTTTGTTTAAAACTTCTTTAAATAGGAAAGGAAAATCCTAAGTTTAAGTTAGTTGCCCATTTTGTAGATTAAGAAAAGAATTACAGATTATTTTATTCTTTTAATTATATTTTTATTTCAAATCAGAAACTGCTCTTGAGCTGTACAACAAGCTGGCTCCTCACACCTACAGTCCTAGGAAGGATTTCTATATTAAACTTCTCTCAGAAATACAAGCTAAAGGAGCAGTTCAACATCTTGGTAAATACAGAGAGTCCCATATCATATTAGGTTATCTCCAAGCTTAAACGCCAAAATAAAGACATATTACTTTAAAAACCTGAAATTTTCTGCTAGAAATTTTTTATTTTAGCCTCATTAAATTTTCCAAAATGATTCAATCTTTTTAAAATTTCTCATTAGTCCCGAAAATCGTAATTTAGACCCATTGACGAAATAATATGATATGGGAATCTTAGAATATTATTCAAAATATTTTTATCTTGTATATTTGATCAAGGTTTTAGACTATTTCTAGTTTGATTTGATGATAAGAATTTTTCTTTTTATTTATCAGTTATCGTGTTTTTTTTTCTGCATAAAAATGATCTTAAATATAAACACTTTATTGAGATATTTAAGTTTATTGTATTGCATATTTTGTAAAGTCGTCTTCTTCTAACGGTTTGATAAGAATGATGCGATCTTTTTTTTCTCTCATCAGTGTTTTTTTTTCCTGAAAATTTTCTGTCTGAAACTTATATTGAATATTGCTGAGAAGTTTCTTCTATTTTATATTTTTAAAAGTCGTCTTCTTTTAGGAAAAATCTTCGATGATTTAGAACTTTGCTCTTACGGGGGATGCAACAAGGCAAGTTATATTTTCTCTGTCTTTCTTAGTAAATTGATTTAAATATTGATCATTTGATCAGATAGGCTATTGTTGAAAAATGCATGATTGTCGATCCTTTTTGAATATTGATAATAATTAAACACGATCAGCAGGTCAAAACTAGATAATAGTTCGATATCTGGATTAATCTGATGATACAACTGAGATGGATTGATATATAAAATGATTAATTTATTTATTTATACGTGATAAAGTATTTTTTGAGAATATACGAAATCAAAATGTTTATTCAGTTAGCTAGGGTTAACTGGTTACTGAAAATGGATTGATGTATCAATTCTAGTCCTTCGCCTGATTTATTGATTAGGGCCCCCCCCTGGAACTCCGGGGGGGGGGGAATTGAATAATTGATCGATTGATTGATTGATTGATGATTAGTGGTATGATTGTTTGATTTCTTGATAGATTGAATGATTAGTTGATTGATTGATTGATTGACTGGTTCCAGGAGGGGTTATATGAGATGAACAGCACTATACTAGATGTATGGATTCTAATCCTCGGCTGATTACTGATGATTAGTTGATTTATTGATTGATATATTTATTTATTTGATTTTTATGATTTATTGATTGAATGGTTCTAGGAGGGTATATATGAGATGAACAGCACTATACTAAGATGTATGGATTCAAGTCCTCCGTCCCTTGATTGGTCGATTGATTAATTGATTGACTGGTTCCAGGAGGGGTTATATGAGATGAACAGCACTATACTAGATGTATGGATTCTAATCCTCGTCTGATTACTGATGATTAGTTGATTGATTGATTGATAGATTTATTGATTTGATTTTTATGATTTATTGATTGATTGAATGGTTCTAGGAGGGTATATATGAGATGAACAGCACTATACTAAGATGTATGGATTCTAATCCTCCCTCAACGTCAGAGTTTAATAATCTTAGTCCAACATACGTCAACATAGCAAACAGGTAGGTCTTGTCTGATACAATCTATACTTGCTCTGTGACCGAATTTAACGAATTTCAGCTACGTCGGTTGTGCCAAACGTTTGTTAATTAATGATATTATTGTTCCAATAGTAGGCGAAGGTCGGACAAAATATTCCACGGAAAAAAACATATTTAAAGAACCCCCGAGGCTTCACATTTTTACATGGATAGTCACTCAGTTAGCTAGTTTTTCGCATTCAAACACCAAAAATATGATCCTTGTTCAATGTTTGTGGTTACCTAAAAGGTATTAGCGGTTCCAAAAAGGTCAAAATCAGACTCATTATGGTGCATTATCCATCCTCACAATCGCAATTTAAGTCGTATTATATTATTTCTAATGCAAATGTTCTAAACAGGCTCACAAAAGTATTTCACACTTTATAACTTCCCATTATGGTCGAGAGTTATGTTGGAAAATGTTCAACCATATTTAATTAGATTTAATTAATTAATTTGAATCTAAATAAAAAAAGTGACTTTAACTAAAATTTTTCAAAATATTTTAGGATATTTAAGCATCTTGAGTTAAACAAAGCTTCAGATTCTCTGTATTTGAGATTTAATACACATGCTGCAGGAATATGCACCCTGGCGGTTAAAGTTCTACTAAAGGAAGCGCAGGTAGAAAATAGTCTTAACTCCACAGAAATAAACTTATTTGGAGATACCCCTCTCCTCCCACCTTTAAATTATATTTCCCTAGTTGGTCCTAGCCGAAGAGCTCGATACCCCAACCTTTGATATTGTTTAGTTCAAACCCAAGTGCTCTGAACTTAAAGTTTTAAGATTTCCTGCAGATTTTCCTGTTCATGTTTTGAAATGGCTTAGTTCCCAATTGCCCTGGATTAATAGTTTTGATGGTCCTTGATCATTTTTTTGATATTGTTTAGTTCCCAAGTGCCCTAAATTTATAGTTTTGAGAGTCCTTGATTATGTTTTGATATTGTTTAGTTCCCAAGTGCCCTGGATTTATAGTTTTGACGGTCCTTGATCATTTTTTTATATTGTTTAGTTCCCAAGTGCCCTGGATTTATAGTTTTGATAGTCCTTGATCATTTTTTTTATATTGTTAAGTTCCCTAGTGCCCTGAATTTATAGTTTGAGAGTCCCTGTTCATGTTTTGATATTGTTTAGTTCACAAGTGCCCTGGATTTATAGTTTTGAGAGTCCTTGATCATGTTTTGATATTGTTTAGTTCCCAAGTGCCCTGGAGATCTTTAATTTCTGCCTGGAAGAGAAGGAGCGTATGCCTGGTCAGCTGGGGGACAGTGCCCTAACTATGCTACTGGATGCCGCAATAGAGGAGGAAAATATTGAAGTTGGTCTACAGGTCAGCTAACTACAGGCAGATGACAAAGTCAGCAGAGTGGAATGCCGCAATGAATTACAAGACAGAGAGAGATCATTATTTATTTTTTTCTGGGCCGTGCGCTGCGGCTAGGAAAGGCCAGGGGGCTGAGCGCCGCGGCTAGTACAGGCTAGCGGGCCGAGTGCCTGTACTAAAATTCATTGCGGCATTCCACTTTGCTGACTTTGGCCTCGGCCTGAACTTCAGGGATTTAAAGGGCAAAATCGCGATTTTTCTTTAAAGGGGTTTATAATGATGCAAAAGCTTTCACCCCAAAAGCTGCGATAATTCTAAGCAGGGGTATTATAAAGGCATTCACCCGTAATGGCGTCCGGTGGTTCCATGATACACATTCCACATATGTATTGGGTTCATTTTCCGATCATAGTCTGCTATTGTTTTGTTTTACTCATCTTTAAAAAGCAAATACGACTGTTAGAAAGTGACCTGTTAAACTTTAAAAAAGTTGCTTATTTTTTAAAATGGTTTTGTTCTGTTTAGATCGTTGATTATCTACTGAGTGTAGGATCTAGTAAGGCCAGGAGCTGCGGGGAGAAATTGGGAAAACAAGATCTATCCTCAAAACATTCTGCTACACTCAACAAATACTTTGCACATCATCCTAAATGGTCAAATATTTAAAATCCTACTTCTTCCAATCCAACCATCTAGGGGCGTATATTTTCATGAAAATTCGATTCCCCCCCTCTTTGAAAATTACTTTTTTCTTTTTCCACCAGAAAAGTTGTTCGAAATATTAAACAGATTGATATTTCAGAGAAGATGTCGTATTCCAAGGCTATTGAGCCGTTTATCCAGAAGTATCCAAGCTGGGTATATTTTACCGGGGTGGGAGGACGAATGCTGAAGGAGAATAATTGGAATACTGGAATCAAAAAGAATATTCCTAAACATTACAAGGTACATAATCACATACCTGATGAATTTTGACGGGTAAGGGGCAAGGGTGATTTAATATGAATATGAAGCCTGGTAGAAACATCCTGCCTTAACAGCTTGCAGACAACTCGAATTTGTAGCTCTCCGAAAAAGTGAAAAAAGAGACATGGATAGTGTATTGTGTACTTTCTATATTCATTTTTAACTCTGCTGCCATCTGTAGGAAAATACGTATTTTAAATGTATAAATTATATACACTAATTTTTGCTGTCTTAGGCTGACTGACCAATAAAAAAGAATTTGGGGTTGTGCATGTATTATGCGTGTAAATTGAAAATTTCAGTGTTTTTATGACCACCTATAAAATTAAATATTAAAAAACATTTTTATCAGAAGAAAAAACTTGAAAGTAAATATATTGTCGAGTTACTTTCCTGCCTTAGTTAAACACAAATTATGCCGTGCTTAATGCATAGATGGTACCGCCTTCTCTGGAGACCTTGAAATGTCAACCTGCCTTCATATCCATATAAATTTAACTACAACACTGGTTGTGCTCCAGGTTTCTGTTCATTATCCAAAGGGACTTTAAGATAATATTACAACCTGACATAAAGAGGCGTTGGTGGAACTATTAAAATCAAATATTAAAAGTTAAAAACATCTTTAGGACTTTTATTTCACTTGGCAAATTGGTCCTCAGCAACACATTCATTCTCGTCCCGGGACAAACCGGTTTGAGAAGGACGAGTGGGGAGAGATACATCCGGTTCAGAATCCCCGGATCCACGTGGTTTATCCGGAGGAGTTCCACGCGGGTCTCTGGGGAGGAGAAGGTGTGATTAAAGGTTTACTCAAGCGACCTGAAACTAGGCATAGATCCTTCAAACCTCCACCAGCTAAATATTTTTGGCCAAAATTATTTGAGGTAAATACATCAATAAAGAAAAATACATTAAATCTATATTTAGGGATTATAAATATATTGGACTGTCCTTGTAATTTTAAGTGACCATCATTTTAAAAGGGCCAGGCCTGATTCACAATGGTACCCTTGAAATTCTTTTTTTTTATTTTTTTAAATTTTTATTTTTTTATTTATTATTATTTTAAAAATTTTTTTTATTTAAATTTTTTTTTAGTTTTAAAATTTTTATTTTATTACTAAAACTAATTATGGTTATGAAACTTAACACGTTTATTATTATTTAATCCTATTAGTACACCCGGTAATTAACCACCACTACCCTAGGAAGATCAATTTAGGCTCTTCAATGTGGTTAAAAACCAAAGGGTTTTTTTGAGAAAAATTTTTTTCTTCCTTTTTCTTTTGATCCAAAACTTTCTAGTTCCTTGATTCGAAATAGAAGTAGAATGTATAAGTATGTATACTTTATAGTATTATCCCGTTTTTAGGCCGATAATAAAGGTTCTTTTTTAAGGTCGACTACAAAAGTAGCACATATTTATATAGATTTAAAATTTGGTGATGGTGATGACCAAACCTCTGTAGAGTAAAAAAAGTAGATGTTAGTTCCACATTTATAGACTCTTGTGAATTGGACTTGCATCTCTGTACATGGAGTCACTTAAAATAATGTTTTTAGTCCCTTTAAAATGGTTGCAGAGAAGGAAATATATCTTGAAATACGCAATATTATCTTCTTTAAGGGACTTTAAGCGTAAAGCTTTTTCTGACCAAGTAAAAATTAAGTATCGGTATTTTTTGTTTCTCAAAACTGTTTATTTTCATTTGCGGTTTCTCTGCGAAAGTGACTTGCGCATTCCTTGTTTATAAGAAGCAAGGGAGAAACTCGCAAAAATAAATATTTTCCGAGTCATAAAAACGACGATTTCTTAAACATTTTTTATGAGATTAATGTTCAGGGGTCAATCGGGCATTGCCATCTGTGCATGGAGGGTCACTTGAAATAACCATTGTTTCTCATTTTAAAATTAAAAGAAGAATTATGTAAGAGGTTCTTCCTTTTTCATGATCATAAAACTATTGTTGTAAAATATTTATAAATGGTTTTTCCTGATAACAATTTATTCTTAATTTTATAATTGACGTTTCATAGCTAGTGTTATCCTATTTGTATACTCGGTATTTAACCACCAAAACTTAAGGATGATCATTTTTAGCTATTTTTTTAAAAGTTAGTTTAAAAGATGCAATTTCTTATAATTTCTTTGTAACATAATTTGCCAGCTTCTTTATTCAAATAAGAATTGGGAATGAATGTGTATCCCGTCTACGGACCAATGATGAAGAATACTTCTAAGGTCGATCTATCCATTTAATATGGTAGTGTACTGTACTTTTCATAAGTAATGTACTAATTAATTCAAAACTATTGTTATATTTAGGGAGTAGTTTACAGTGAGATTCTGGATAAACGAATAGAACTAATTATGACCAAACGTGGAGTTCATCTAGGAAACCAACAAATCAATACAAAACTATTTGAAATCTTTAAATAAAATATTCAAGAATATTTTATTTAAAGAGAGAGTTCTGAATTTTAGAAAAATGCTTTCAATAGTTAACTGTTGGAGACACAATTTGAGCTACAGGGTTACTCACAAAGAATCCATAAAATTCTTCAAATATGACAATTCCAAGATTAAATTAAGTCTCTGCTGATATAAACGTTGTCTTTTAATGGCTTATTTGATGATTTGGCAAGGAAAGACAGGAGTGGAATCATGACTTAAACTTTTCGTACACCCGTCTCTGAAGTCTCATTCTTTGTTTGTAACCCTGTAAATAAATTTTGTTGATTTGATTTGATTTGATTTGATTTGATTTGATTTGATTTGATTTGATTTGATTTGATTTGATTTGATTTGATTTGATTTGATTTGATTTGATTACTAGTTGATGAAGCTGAAGGGTTTGATAATTATCTATTGACGACTCCTGTAAATGAAGTTTATGCATGGAAACTGCTCAGGCTTAAACGAGAAATACTTTTAACCCTAGCAGACAAGGAGAACTTTGCAGGTTAGATAAAAAGATATATTGATTGATGTGATCTGATCTAATCTGATAGATGGATAAATACTGGTACAGGTTAAAGGAATGTTTGATTGAGAAAGTTTTTGGGGAGTGTTTGTTACTCATATTAATAATTTTCAAACCTCTCACATTCTCTTACATTTTAGTTCTTTTTCAATTAAGGTCTAGTCCTTTAGAAGATGCATTCAGATGCTTACATTTATGCAGGATAAAAATATTTTGTTTCAGAGACATATCACGGAGAAAATATAAGCACCTTGTGTTTATCTTTTGATCTAGGGTTTTGTAAGATTAGGTGGAATAAAAAGGTTGCAAAAGTATGAAACTGAATATTTATTTATAAAATTTATAATTCAATAATGAATATTGTATAGGTAGAGGAGGTATTGTAGGCCTATATATATAATTAATATATTGTATAGGTAGAGGAGGTATGGTAGACCTATATATAATCAATATATTGTATAGGTAAAGGAGGTATGGTAGACATATATATAATTAATATATTGTATAGGTAGAGGAGGTATTGTAGACCTATATATAATCAATATATTGTATAGGTAAAGGAGGTATGTTAGACCTATATATATTCAATATATTGTAAAGGTAAAGGAGGTATTGTAGACCTATATATAATTAATATATTGTATAGTTAGAGGAGGTATTGTAGGCCTATATATATTCAATATATTGTATAGGTAGAGGAGGTATTGTAGACCTATATATAATCAATATATTGTATAGGTAAAGGAGGTATGGTAGACCTATATATAATTAATATATTGTATAGGTAAAGGAGGTATTGTAGACCTATATATATTCAATATATTGTATAGGTAGAGGAGGTATTGTAGACCTATATATATTCAATATATTGTATAGGTAGAGGAGGTATTGTAGACCTATATATAATTAATATATTGTATATGTAAAGGAGGTATTGTAGGCCTATATATAATTAATATATTGTATAGGTAGAGGAGGTATTGTAGACCTATATATATTCAATATATTTTACATGTAAAGGAGGTATGGTAGACCTATATATGATTAATATATTGTATAGGTAAAGGAGGTATTGTAGGCCTATATATATTCAATATATTGTATAGGTAAAGGAGGTATGGTAGACCTACATATATTCAATATATTGTATAGGTAGGTGAGGTATTGTAGACCTTCATATGATAAATATATTGTATAGGTAAAGGAGGAATGGTAAACCTTTATATGAATAATATATTGTATAGGTAAAGGAGGTATTGTAGACCTATATATAATTTATATATTGTATAGATGAAGGAGGTATTGTAGACTTATATATATTCAATATATTGTATATGTAAAGGAGGTATTGTAGACCTATATATAATTAATATATTGTATATGTAAAGGAGGTATTGTAGACCTATATATATTCAATATATTGTATAGGTAGAGTAGGTATTGTAGACCTATATATAATCAATATATTGTATAGGTAAAGGAGGTATTGTAGACCTATATATATTCAATATATTGTATAAGGAGGTATTGTAGACCTATATATATTCAATATATTGTATAGGTAGAGGAGGTATTGTAGACCTATATATAATTAATATATTGTATAGGTAAAGGAGGTATTGTAGACCTATATATATTCAATATACTGTATAGGTAGAGTAGGTATTGTAGACCTATATATAATCAATATATTGTATAGGTAAAGGAGGTATTGTAGACCTATATATATTCATTATATTGTATAGGTAGAGGAGGTATTGTAGACCTATATATAATTAATATATTGTATAGGTAAAGGAGGTATTGTAGACCTATATGATTAATATATTGTATAGGTAAAGGAGGTATTGTAGGCCTATATTTATTCAATATATTGTATATAGAGAGGAGGTATTGTAGACCTATATATAATTAATATATTGTTTAGGTAAAGGAGGTATTGTAGACCTATATATATTCAATATATTGTATAGGTAGATGAGGTATTGTAGACCTATATATATTCAATATATTGTATAGGTAGAGTAGGTATTGTAGACATTTGAATCTGAAGTTACCTGTTGTGCACACCGAAATACAAGAAACTTATTTAGTGCAAGAGTTATCAATATATGGAATGATATTCCATATGAAATCAAAAGTGCTGTAAACCTGAACATTTTCAAAAACAAGCTTGATAACTGGCTGAATTTCTGAACGCTCAATGAAGTCGGAAAAGAGATGCATTAAATTGTAAACATAACCACACCAATTAAACTAATTAATATATTGTGTAGGTAAAGGAGGTATTGTAGACCTATATATTCAATATATTGTATAGGTAGGGGAGGTATTGTAGACCTATTTATAATTAATATATTGTATAGGTAAAGGAGGTATTGTAGACCTATATATTCAATATATTGTTTAGGTAGGGGATGTATTGTAGACCTATATATTCAATATATTGTATAGGTAGGGGATGTGCTCAAATTGTACCTTCAGGAACCAGGTAATTAACTACAAACATAAGAGCGAGCATGGACTCTTTCTCTTTGGCTCACCTCAATTTGCACTGATTAAATCTTATGTATATATTTCAGGTAGGCAGTTTATACAGGACTCAACCGTGAACTGAAAACACAATAAATCAGTCCTGGGTTAATTATATGCATGACAATAATAAAATTTTAGCCTTAAAAATAAAACTTTCTCCAGGTCAACTATTAAATTATTCATATAATAAGAAAATAAACTTACAATGTTGATTTGTCCAGAGGTTTGTAGCCTATAGTTCATTAAATTGCACCGCAGTCGAGAACAGGAAATTTAAGCTCATTTTAGACATTTGCAATTTTTCACCTGGTTTAAAGCACGGATACGAGCCCGGAACTATTTAGAGGAATCACAACAATCACAATTATCTACATATATTCTATAAACCATCCGTAGGAATAAAATTTGGCAATAGCCTTAAACATTGATTACAGATGCTTTATAGACCTGGAGAAAGAAACACGAATGCCGGTTAGCAGAGTTCAACTAACCCATAGTGTTCTGAAAGATAAACTCATTTATTTACAAATTTTTGAGTCTTAGGTTGGACATTTTATATAGGCTTAGACTAGACACTTTATATAGGCTTTGGTTAAATATTATATATAGGCTTGATAAAACTCAGGTTCTGCATTATAAAACAAAATCAGGTTGATCTTCATAAAAATTGGCCTTTAAATAGTTATCCTTTAAAAATCTCAATTATATAGATTTAAACACATGATTAAATGTAGGATTGTAGGTGTAGAGTTCCGTGTGATTGATCGATTGTTTGTAGAGAATTCCTGGTTCATACTGAATAACGTCTTGTCGCTGATCACCCTGAACACACATTAGTTTATAAAGATCCTCAGATCTTACAGGGGAGGTATTGTAGACCTATATGTAATAAATATATTGTATAGGTAAAGGAGGTATTGTAGACCTATATATTCAATATATTGTATAGGTAGGGGAGGTATAGTAGACCTATATATAATTAATGTATTGTATATGTAAGGGAGGTATTGTAGACCTATATATTACATATATTGTATAGGTAGGGGAGGTATTGTAGACCTATATATGATTAATATATTGTATAGGTAAAGGAGGTATTGTAGATCTATATATATTCAATATATTGTATATAGAGGGGAGGTATTGTAGACATTTATATGATTTATATATTGTATAGGTAAAGGAGGTATTGTAGACCTATATATAATTAATATATTGTATAGGTAAAGGAGGTATTGTAGACCTATATATGATTAATATATTGTAAAGGTAAAGGAGGTATTGTAGACCTATATATTATTAATATATTGTATATGTAAAGGAGGTATTGTAGACCTATATATTATTAATATATTGTATATGTAAAGGAGGTATTGTAGACCTATATATTATTAATATATTTTATAGGTAAAGGAGGTATTGTAGACCTATATACATTCAATATATTGTATAGGTAGAGGAGGTATTGTAGACCTATATATAATTAATATATTGTATAGGTAAAGGAGGTATTGTAGACATTAATATGATTAATATATTGTATATAGAGAGGAGGTATTGTAGACCTATATATGATTAATATATTGTATAGGTAAAGGAGGTATTGTAGACCTATATGAGAATTATAATCAATATATTGTATAGGTAGAGGAGGTATGGTAGACCTATATGAGAAATATAATCAATATATTGTAAAGGTAGAGGAGGTATGGTAGACCTATATGAGAAATATAATCAATATATTGTATCTAAAGAACAAGCAGACTGGACTGGATTAAAGCTTCAGGTAAAATATATTTGTTTTGGTTGCTTTGCTAAATAGTTTAGGGTGACAATTAATTTAAGTTAAGACTCAGGGTGTCAATTAATTTAAGTTAAGACTGAAGAATATCCCAGCTTTATTAATTTTATTATAACACTTCAAAACCCTTTGACCTTAATGTCTTCGAGAAGAAAACTAATGATAAAGGGCACCATATTTTCCTTAAAAGTGGCACCATATTTTCCTGAGAAGTTTTGTACCTTTACTATTATTATTTTACTGATTTAAGCCTTAGAGTAAAACAAAAAGCTTGAAAAATACCTTATAAGTTTTATTTTTTTTTAAATTTAGTTTTTCCCAAATTATTATTTTTTGTTAAAGGTCAATATCTATTAGTGTATCTTGAACTGTACGCCATTTTGGATTTTAAATTGAAGTGCTCGGTGTTGCTCAGAGAATTTAAAAAATCGACCAAGACACTGCAGAAAACAACCTCCCGCGTCGAAACAATTAATCTGAGGGATCTACTATATCTATCCTATGTTAATAAGAAGGAAAAAAGAAACGTCTGTTACTGCTGTTCGTCCCTCTAAGTGTTACGATTTTGTCGGCTGTACAGGGTTACCCACTAAGAATGATACTTTCATGAGGACTTGAATTTGTAGGCCTATCTGAAGATTGAATTTGGATTTCTGCCCTCAAAATTTTCTTTAAAGGTATACGCTTAAAGATTTGAAAGTGAAAGTAAAAGTTGTATATCTGATGGTCACCGTGAGTGTAGGAAACAAGACTGAATAATTCACGTACAGTCGTCTCTGAAGTCTCATCCTTTGCTGGGAACCGGTCCTGTATGTAACTATACATACAATGTCGACGCATAACATTTTGTTATATAGGAAGCGATCAAGAAACAGCTTGTGATTGAACACAACAAGATAGAACTGAACAAAGTCCCTCTGAAGGACAAGTATAGAGACGAACTAGTCTATCTTCTCAAACAAGGACATCTAGATGATATAGATCTAGGACTGGTAGAGGACAACAAAGAGCCTGGGTTCCTGGGCGATATTAAGAAAATGTTTAAATAAATTTGATCTCATTTAAATATCTTCCCTCCCCCTTTATACTGAAAGCTTTCTATTTCAGACACAAATGTGTAAGGTTTGACCTTAGTCAATAATATCTTAGATATAGGTAAATACCATTTAAGAATTAATATTTTTTACAGTGCTCCTCAGAAATATGCTTATAAAATACAAAAAGGAGTGAAAGATAATTTAAAACCGTTATGGCAAACTATGAACGGACCCATTTCTGCTAATATGTTTATTTTTAAGCTATTACGATCTAAATATTTTTTCTTTTAACAACAGTAAATAAAGTTTAGATTGCTTTTATATCCACCTTTAGTAAGATATATTCTGAGTTCTGACGATCACTGTAAGATGCTCATACAGTATACACTATACACCTTATTAGAAAATATTAATATGATTGATCATTACTAATGATGAGTCTTTTCAGCTTTTCCTTAACAATTTACTACTCTTTTCGTGCTTTTGATTTAAAACTTAAATACTGATTTCTGCAGTACGTTTGTGCAGTGGTCAGGATGCGAGGAACCGGTTTATATAAACAGCTGATTCGTTACGGACAACAGTTGCAGTACACTGACAAACATTTCTTTTACAGGTTACTATTGTTTAGAATAGGTTTTTATTTTATGCAGAATAGAAATAAACATTAAACAATCAATGTATCAGGAATTAGTTAATCATCAACAAGACCATTTAATGTAGTTGTCGTCGCATATATCAATAAAATGAAGACGACTTTTAACTTCAATTTTGATTAATATACACATAAACATGGAAACAAAGAGAATAAATAAAAATAAATTTGGAACAATTTCAGAAACTTTAACCCACCAGCCCCCCTGCAGTTGCACTCTTACCTTCTGATTTTAAAGCAGCTTGGTCAACTGTAAAAATTCAGCATTCCTGGCAACTGCAATATATCTGCTACTCAAGCAGAAATGGGTCACCCAAAACAGAACACAACAAATCATACATCGTGCAGAGCGAGTGTCCAAAAAATACTGGTTTCGACAAAATTTGTTGGTTTTTTCGAAATTCTCAGAATTGGGGACAGTTAACAGAATAAAAATAAATAATGGAAGAAGGAGAGAAACGCTAACAATAATAAAATTGGAATTTTTTCTGTATAAAACGTATCCAATTTATGAAATTAAAAATTAAAAACAAGAGAAGCTGTCAAACAAAAAAGCTTCTCTTTAATAAACTGCAACTTGTAACTGTAATGTTAAAAAAATTTAACAATCAAAACTAAAATAAAAAAGTCGTCTTATTTGTATTGATATAATCGCCGACCACTTTTTGTGTATATAGATTAATTTAAGTTCCGGCTAATGAGTAATGATCCTAATTATAATCCCCCCCCCCCCNAAGAGAGTTTTCGACGTGGCTCAATATTTTTTAACTCTAAATTGTCCTTAGATTTGAGTGAGTATTCATAAACGATAACTATTGTGGTGAAATAGCCTCAATTTACCAAGAAGGGAAATTTTATTGGAAGACTTTATTTAAATTTTCTTAATATTTTTAGAAGAATTCGAGCTGAGTTCGAACAGAATAAAAACCTACAAGATAAACAAGCCATTCAATTTCAACTAGGTAAACAAGGTTCTAACTTAGATATGATTAGAAAGAGAGGGGGGGGGGGGGTGGTTAAAAAATTGCAAGTTTTTCCTGTTTTGATACTTTTGGACCGATGAATAATTTATTTTCCTTTTGAATAATCCCCCTTCCCTTTTAATAGCATTTAAATTTTCTTACTCATGCAACAAAAATACTTATTGTTTATGAAGAGTGAGTGGGTCAACGTATAGGATTAAACACGAATTGTTACATTAATAAAATTTGTTTAGATAAAGGCTGTGCATTCTTGAGGAATCGGCTGCTGGTTTAGTAAAGAAATAATTCAAGCGTGATCACTGATCAGCGTATTATTAAACAGTAGAATTGTTTTTTTAAAAAGGTTGGATTTAAGAAACTCCTCTCCAAGGAGCTTACCTACCAAGTGAACCCATGTTAAAGAGTGAATTCTAAATTGGACAATGGACAGAAACACCACCAGATTTCAATCATAGACGATGACCTTGAAATTATATTGTGGTTTCCTGGTCTCAGGAAGACGACTTTTTTCTTCGTCTTCTTCAGTACTTGGTGAGTTTTGAATTTATTTTTGATTAATCCCAGAACAATTAGTTGGTTATATTCTCTAAATGTACAACGTCATTTTTCCAAATAATTTTGACTTGAAGTTGTGCATTTTATCCAATATTAACTTTACAAAATTGTCTTACATTTTTAATCAATTTAATTAGGAATTTATAATTTAGGGAAAAAGTTGGATAAAAGCCAGGTCCCGGTTATACAGGAGAAAGACTTGGAGGAAAAATTCGTAAGAGGTGAAGAGAGGAATATATATTNATAAATGAATTTTCGAGAAACTGTATCGAACAGGGTGGAAAACTTTACAGACAAAGTCCTTAAAAATATAAACCCTTTATTAAAAATCTTGATTCACGAGATTATGAAGACGACAGTTTGATGCCTCCATTCCTAAGTTTTCAAAACTTTTAGGTTGGGGTCCCGGTGGCCAGGCTGTTAATACAACTTCTAATGCTGTATTTCTCCGACATATTCCTTCAGGTAATTTTAGTCTAGCAAAATAGGTTTTTCGGACTTTAATGTTAAGAGTTATTGTTTTTAACTTCTTCACTTTCTTCATTAAATTGGATTCACGGTTTACACCGAATTTTTGTTTTGTTTATTATTTTAAATTTTATTTAATTTCAGGGTTGTTTGTTAAATGCCACGAGAGTAGATCTCTGGAGAATAATAGAAAAATTGCCAGAAAGCATCTTATTACAAAGTTAGGTAAAGAAGAAGAAAAATATCTTTTCATGCATTACTTTAGAAATACTTCCAATATGTTTACTGTTTAGTGACACTTTAAGGAACTGGAAGCGTAGATAGAATTGACCCTCAAATGAAAGATGGCAATTCCCGATTCACAACGGTATCCTTAAAAGCTTTGTCTGGTCATGTATAAATTATATAACTTTGAAAAATTGATTATTTTCATTGTGCTACCATAGTGACTTGCACATTTCTACGGAAGGAAAACATATAGGATTTATCAGAATTAAAAAGTTCTAAACCTAGAAAAACGAAAATATCTTTCACATTATTGATTAGATAATGGTTTCAAGGTTACCGTTGTGAATCGGGCATTGCCGTCTTAGCAATTTTTAGAACTCTTCTAATAATAAATATTTTAGACAACTTGGTGAATGGTTTGGATTCAGTTGAAAACAGACAGAAGGCAATAGACTCCGCCAAGAAAGAGAGAAAGAAGGAGAAGTCCAGACGGAAATACCAGCAGTTGAAGTTAATAAAGGAGGGGGGAGTAGAAGAAAAAGAAAATAATTCAGAAGAATCCAACGAGTTAGGAAAAAACGATCTTGACAAACTAGATGAAAAATAGAACAATTGTGATTTGATCTTCATAAACCTGGAGAAACTAAATTTATTTTCTATATTTTTTCCAGAATAATGTTAGGGTTAGGGACGCTGAGACGGGTCAGCTTAAACCTGGGCAGACTTGAGCGCTGTGAAGCGCAAAGATTGAAGTATACTGCTCCTAAATATGAAGAAATTATTACAAAAAATAGATTAACTAACATGCAGAAAACGTTTAAAAGCAGAGACAAAATAAATGTAAGTAAGTTATAAGCTCAGACATAATTTCATAGATTAATAAAATATGGAGTTAAATTTTTTAAGCTTTTTTCAGGCACATGTTGACCTGTTGAAGCTAAAGAATAAAGAAAAGCTGGAGGAGAAAAATGTTTTCGGAACGGAGTTGTTTAATGACTTTACAACCCTGGAGGCACAAATGCAGTCCCTAAAATCCAAAGGGTTTCTAAGAGCATATAAATCCTACACCCCGCCCTCTAACCTGAAGGAACTGTTCTTGTCGACGTGTAGTTCAAGTTTAGGCCGCCAGGTGGCAGAAAGCTCGCTATCTACCGATAAACTTGATAATGTTGAAGTCAAGTTTAAAGTTCTTAACGCGCTCTCACATGCTTTTAATCATAGTGTTCACAATTCACGGCTCACGGAGATTAAAACTCTAGCAGATGCACTTCTTTATTACCAGGTAAACCTATCCTAGATACCAATTAAATAGTTTTTTGAAGTTTTTAATTTATATTTTCCCCCTCAACACGTAGAAACTAATTAGAAATTCTTCAAATGTCGTCTTTTCAATAAAAATTTCAGAAAATCTACAGAAAATGTTTGTGAACAATGATAGATTACAGAAACTAATAACTGAATAAGATTACTTATTTTTGATGATAATTGAGTTAATTTTTATTTTCTCACCTGTTCCTAAACAACTAATTAGTTTACTGTAGAACTGTTTTAGTTTAAAAATGTCGCAAATGAATCCTAAAAAGTTTCTCCACAATACTACATTCTCAGTCCATCTACTATACATTATCGGTCACTCCCTTTAATAAATCTTCCAAAAAATAATTTGTGGGACAAATATCTAATAATTCATATTCAAGAGAGTTTTCGACGTGGCTCAATATTTTTTAACTCTAAATTGTCCCGAGCCTAAAAGAACAAAATCATTGGTTGGGAACTTGGGATATTTGTTTGTGGGGGTGGGGGGGAGGGGATGTTTCACAAGAAAGCATTCAGTATACTCCTTCCAGAGAACTTGTGATTTTAATCATATGCATTTCGCGTACAACCCGATTCGAATACTACACGTTTCCTCCAAATCTGTTCAATGTTAGTTTTAACCGGTTTTTTGGAGGGTCAAGACTCAAAGGGAACTTTCAGGAACTATTAGGTTGTTAATATTTCTCATAAAAACGATTTTTTCCTGATTTAGTCCGAGGTGAACTCTAAGAACCCATACGAGATGTTGCACCAGGAGTCGGAGAAGGGTCTGCTCCCTCCCAACCTTCATGTACAGCTTCATCCTGTCAGGTTTACAGGGAAGGGAGATCATGTTCTAGATCAGGTTAGTTGAACACTCTACACTGAACAGATTATGTACAAATTACCAATTCTATGTACATTACGTACGGCATAATGAATACTTTCTTATTCATAGTAACCTTTCCTACACGCAATGACGTCTGCAATCTTTTCTGTTAAGATAGTAATCAAAACAACTTGCTTTAACAGTGCTTTTATGGTTGATGACAAGCTTTTTTAAACTCACCGGGGTTTTGTGGTTTACTTTTTGTTTGTGCTTGTTCTTATGCCCACCTTGAGTTCTGTGAATGCAGAGAAACAGTCGAAAATTCGGCTTCACTGCCAATTTAAAACAATGATATATTGATTCGATGAAAATGCTTTGAAGAAACAGAAACTATTGAGAGCTTAAAGTAACTTTATCTGTACACCTTTTATTCTCTTCTCATATCAGAATTGTGAAATATTAAAACATTTTGAATGGACAATAGATGTCATTTCAAGTGACCCTTCTAATAAAAGAGTGTCTTACCGGATTCACAATGGTACCCTTTAAACCTCTATCCGCAATTCAAAATAATAAATTTATAAGCCAGAAAAATAAGAATATATATTTATCCTTGAATCTAGATCCGACAAAGATTTAAAGGGTACTCTTGTTAATCGGACTCTATATCACTCTATAAATGGCAGTTCATAGTCCCTTTCAGGTTTAAACTTGATTTTATAGATGGATGATCACTTGAAATTACATCCCTTTAAATCGTAATAAACATTATCATGAAGAAAGATCATTTCTATCTTTTCAGGTGACAGCATTCCCGAGGACGAGTACTATTGTTTCCGGTCTACAGACTAAAGATAAAATTCCTTCCCTGGAGTCAGAGTTTGATCCCTACGAGGATTTGGATTATAAATAATGATCCGGATATTTCAGATATTACAATGTTAGGATGCCTCCGCTTATCAAGCGACCTGCTGGATTAACAGGATTCCAGATCGGGATTGGAGTAAGATTATTATAATAATTGTGAAATACTAAAATTTCAGAGGCGTATTCAGAGGGGTGGCTATTGGGGCTAAGCCCCCCCGGGACCAGTGAAATCTATTGATTTCGGGGGGTTTTCATGTCCCAAAGGGTGCTGAGCCCCCCCCTGGAAATAAAAAATTTAAGCCCCCCCCTGGACAAATTCCTGAATACACCCCTGTATTTCTATTCTTAATTTAATCTTCTGAAGGTTATAACAAAACAAAAAAAAATCTCAGATTTTCCTTTATACATTGTTAAAGGCACATTTTTCTTTGGAATTGTTATAAGCACATTTTTCATCGAAATTGTTATAGGCACATTTTTTCATCGAAATTGTTATAGGCACATTTTTTTCATCAAAATTGTTATAGGCACATTTTTTCATCAAAATTGTTGTAGGCACATTTTTCATCCAAATTGTTAAAGACACATTTTTCATCAAAATTGTTATAGACACATATTTCACCGAAATTTTGGTGAGGCGTGTTTCTAAATTTTGTTCTTCTCTGGGGTTTTGTGAGTTGCCACTAAATGTTTTAGAACTTCTTGTAAATTCTTTTAAACACTTTAAAAGAGTTTTAAGATATGTATCCTTTGCCGGTAAGGCAAAAAAGATTAGTTTGGTTTGTTGGGTAAAATTGTGCACTTTTCAGTTTTTAGTTTTTTCTCTCCATAACTTTCAGCGTCGGAACAATAGAAGTGCATAACTATTTAACCAATGTATTGTTTATACGCCACCCCGTACACAGAATAATCAAGTCTAGTACATACTTTTAGAATTTATTTCTTGATCATCTAGCTGTGAAGCTGAAATATAACAATTAATTAGTATTATATATTTTATAAAATGTAATGTATGGTAAAATCTTGCGACCAAACAAAGTTACTTAACAATACACATTAAAATCCAATATTTCAAAATGTTACGTCTGGTGATATGTTGTGACCAGATAAGAGGAATCAAAGCAACATATGAAGACTTAATAAAAGCTTAATCATCAGTTTTTAAAAGGCACACAAGAATATTTCACAAAACATAACGACGTCCCAAGCTTTCTAATAAAAATCTTACATTTGATGGCGGTTTGGTTTTCTCACACGCTGATCCAAATGTATCCAATTAGTGTTTATCAGGTTTCAAGTTCTCCATGTACAGTGTAACTTCTCCTGCGAATGTAAAGAACTATAAGCACTAGTTCATTGTAGGTATTACAGAGTTGATGTAAATTAGGTTTTATTAGATAATAACCTTTTAAATGTGTCCTGTGAACACTGCGGACTGCAATTCTTCCTTATTCCAATGTAAATATGTTTGAAGGTGGGGGTGGTAGCTGTTGTATCTGATCTATCTATAACCATCCGTCTGAACTTCTTATCTCTCTTTTTCTGCTATCTGGTTGTTTAATGAGCACTATGATTCCGATGATTTATTAATGTTTATCCACGATCACATAGGTAGAACAAACTCGCTTAAAGTAAGCCAATTGCGAGAGGCTTAGTGGGATTTCTTAGTTTAGTGGATAAAAATGTTTAAAAAATATGTGTAAAAAACTATGGAGAATATGTAGTTTAGTGGGTACAAATGTTAATAAGGGGTGAAGACGACATTTTGGAAGGAATTAGCGGATTACTGTTAAGTTGGGATAAGAGAGAGAAAAGAGTATAAAAATCATCATTAGAATCATTCAATACTCTGAAACAATCCTTAGTTTAGTATTCTGTTTGTGAAAGTATAAGCTATGATACTATTGTGCTGAGAAAACTGGAAATATATTAAATCTTTAATCCTGTCTCTCTGCACTGTAACCTTAACCATTTACGCTGCTAGAATTCTTAAAGGAAACTCTTCAGAAATAATCTTGTCACTTTCAAACTTAGGAAAAAGAATTTAGTATACAGACTTGCTACTTACAAATGACTATGTTCATTCCCTTAAGTAAAATTTTGCTTAAAAAAAGAATTATAATTAAAAATTTTGTGTTTGTTACCAAAAAATAAATAAAGAAGAAAATATATTTTGGTCTAAATGGAACCCCCTCAGTTCCAACAATACAATACCATTGAGATAAAGAATAAAACAACTTTATTTAACTCTGTTAATTTATTTTAATTAAGTTTTACAATATTTTAAAATATGTATATGATATCTGATGAATAAATTGAGATTTCTATATTTCTTGTTCTTAATTTTCTTCTTGTTAATACATTTTTTAATCATATTTCGGCTAATTTTGAAAAAAAATAAAAGAATTTTTTTTTGGATATCCTTGTAGTTCGCCACTTCACGAGAAAGAACTATTTTAGAGGATTTTGCTTTTTCTCTGATCTCTGTATTTAATTGAACTAGCTGAGGATCTTGCTTTCTTATTTTAGAACTATATATTGATTTGTTTACTCATGAGTTGCATCTGACTCAGCAAAGCACAAATTCCTGATAATTTCTTGGGGTCAGGGAGGGGGGGGGGAACATCTTCCAAGCCCCCATTTCTTATATCAATAGATCTCCCTTCCAATTTTTCCTGTTCAATTTTCTTTTTCCTTCTTGCTTCTTGTTTCTTGTTTTTGAGGCCTCTCCAAATAGTTCTTTTGACATCGAGTTGCGGAGCAGGTAGGAGATAAGGAGGTTTGTAGGAGGAAGGGTATAAGGGATTGCTTCCTGTTGTCCTTTGTGTTATAGTCTTTCCGACTAAAGGGGAATCTTAAGGAAACCCCATAGCTGCACCCCTTATGCACAAATGGGAGTTTTAAGCCTTAAAGCCCCATTTAAAGAAATCTTCCACAGCAGTCCAGTCCTCATAGCTGGTCGAGTAAAAAACCGGTATCGTTGTGCATGGCTTGTATACCCATCAGAGTTAAAACTCCTTCTTTCAGTTGCTCCATGCTGAAGATGGAGACCTTTTTATTCTATATTACATTCGACAGGATATTCCCCTGTAGGAAAAGACATGTGTGCATTCAACGACACGTAGTGCTCCCCCAAACTATATAGCCAGGACCGTTGTGAGAGAGGTCCGTTCTCCTCTGAGCCTAGTAAGCAACTGTTAAATATTTATTTTCAGTTTGCGCTCGGTATTATCGGCGGTGTCTATATCTGGAGACCGACATTTCAGAAGTATTTCAGTGATAAAGCTGAAACATTGAAAGCTGAAGCTGTTAGTAAACAATCTAAATAAGGTGAGTTATATCATTGCTACATTCAATCTTTACAGGAATTGGTACAGTATTAACGTAATTTCAAGTGACCTTCCATTTATAGATATTATAGTTTGTCTATCCTAAATAGTGTTAATTCTAACAAATTCCTTAGTAGTCTCTGCGACAATAATTAGCAGGTCAGTTTGGTAGAGAAACCGCAAATAAGAAAAGATGATAATCAGTCAAAGGTTTAAAAGGTTACCGTTGCGATTTGGACAATGACATGCAAAGTTCGAGAATCACTTACAGTCCACAGTCCGCACAGTCCCTTTGAGTTTGAACAGAGTTCATGAAAACCAAACTTCTGTTAAAACTAACAAATTTTCTTTAAATTTTGGTTTTAAAGTTTCTGAATTTTTAAGGCCGAAAAAAAGATCTTTTGAAAGATTTCGCCACGATTTGGATTGATTTTTTTTAAACAACATAAATTGAGACAAGTTAATACTTTTTGTCCATTTTGAAATTTTTGCACGCTATTAAATTTTTTTAAAAACAAAAAAAGATTTCATTAGGATTACTATCTAGGTTTGAATTGAATGTACACTGTAGAGTTAAGATGGGTAACCCAGTGTTGAAAGGTTGGAGATACGGAGCCTTCATTGGAGCTGTAGTTGGTTGTATTGGGCTAGCCATTTATCCAGTTATTATCAGTCCATATCTCTTCCCGGAGAAGTGGAAGCAGCAGAGTAAAGCGGTAAGATAACAAGAAATCAGTGCTTAGGATCCATTTCATTTTGATCCGGATCCAGGTCATGAACATTTCTTAGATATTTACTGATTTTTTTAGCAAAAGAAGAAATTTCAAATTTTTTTCTTTTTTCGCTTATTTTATGCAAAAACTCGATGAGCCATTCAAAAATAAGGAAAATTTTAATTATAATTATTTTTTAACATTTTAGATTTGGGGTTGAGAGCAAAAAGTTTTTTTTTTCAGTTTTTGTTTTATTATTTGCTCCCGGATCCGGGTCCAGAAAACCAAAATGTTTTGAGATCCAACGGATCCGGATCCTAAGCGCTGCATAGAAAATATATTTCGCTCTTTGTATACTTATTCCCCTATTGCTACCGTGCACATGACGCTGTACAGTGTACACTCTTCATGCACTGCACATATACAGGGTGGCCAAAATGTACGGATTGTACGGATTGATTTTTTTTTAACCCTAAAATTGTACGGATTGTACGGATTTGTTTTCAAATTGTACGGATTGTACGGATTTTTATCCTGGAAAATACACCGTTTTTTTAAATTTTCACTCAATTCAGCAAATTTTTCATGAAAATTGAAAAAAAAATTCTCGTCAAAATGAAGTTAGTTTAACTTATTTTCTGCATTCTAAATAATATTAGATTGATTAATGTTTCAATTGACAATCAAAATTCATTCATAATTTTCGAGATATGTCCAAGAAGTGTTTATTTGAGAATATGTTCCATAAGTACTTATTTGATTGCTTATTCAAGAAGATGTTCCAGTATCCTGTACCCAGTATCCT